TTACCAGCCCGCCTGGTGATGGGGTGCTGCCTGACCTGATGGTTCCTGTCCCTTCCATGAACTGGGAAGGGAGATTCCCCCCGCCAGTGTGCAGGGCTGGGGACCTGTGGATTTGAGGACAGTGAGGCTGCCATTTGGGAGAGCAAGTTTGCTAAGACAGCAGGGCAGGGAGCCGCACGGTGTCCTGGAGCTCTCCAGCTCTGATTGCCAGGGTGAGGCGTATGTGTCCATCCTGTGCTTTGGCATTGGGTGGCACAGGTGCAGGCTCACAGCAGGTGGAAGCAAGGTGTGCTCGGAGAAGGCGGGGCAGAGGGAGGGCGTGTGTTTGCAAGCAGAAGTGGCAGGGAGGAGGAAGCGGGCGCCCAGCGCGCAGCGCGGCTTTCAAGGTGTATCTGCCTGCGGCTCAGCGGGGGCGTCAGGAAAGGCATTTTTGTTTTAAAACAAATCTGGGTTTGTTCTGGCATAGGAGATGGAAAGTGCGAGGATTCCTCAGACACCTTAACAGTCTTCAGGGTGGCTTTCCTGCTCGATTTACCTTGGGAATTTGGGAAACTTTGGAAAAGTCTCAGAGCTGTGTCCTGCTGGTATGGTCTCCAGTCCCAGCCTGGCACCCCTCCCTCATAGACACACACATTTGATGTATATGCGTGGACAGGTCCTGGGGCTTGAACACAGAGCCTGGGTGCTGTCCCTTAGCTTTTTTTTTTTTTTTGTCAGTTGTGAGGCTTGAGCTCAGGCCTGGACACCGTTCCTGTACCTCTTTGTGCTCAAGGCTAGCACTCTACTACTTTGAGCCACAGCTCCACTTTTGGTTTTTGAGTGGTTAATTGGATATAAGAGTCTTACAGGGACTTTCACCCCAGGCTGGCTTTGAACAATGATCTTCAGATCTCAGCCTCCTGAGTAGCTAGGATGACAGGTGTGAGCCATGGGAACCCGAAACACATTGGCTTTTCCCTCAGGCCACTAGAGGACAAAGTTCATCCAGGAATGGTGACAATAAGGATCAAATGGCCCTAAGGTGGCATGGCTGGGGGAGCTGGGGACCAGACAGATGCCCTGTGGGGTGGGGTGGGTGTAGCCTCAGACCATGATGCAGGCCTGAGGGTCCAGGCCAGAATTGAGAAGAGCTGAGCAGACCGTGGAGAGGGAAGGGGCTCCCCAATAGGGTCCTCCTCTTCCCCACCCTAGGGGACACAGAACTGGGGCACAGGTGGGGAAGGGGTGCTGGCAATGAGGCCAAAGCCCAGTTAGGGAACTGGGGTGCCTTGTATGTGGGGATTTGTTCTTCATGGCCGCCTGGTGAAGCTTACAATTGGAGTATCTGAGCCTGGCCCTGGCAGAGCCAGTCGGCGGTGGGGGGGGGTACACGGAGGTGGGTAAAGCCTTGGGGCAGTCCGCTAGCAGATGCTGTGAGACCCCCACCCCCACCCCGGCCGGGAAGAAAAGCCTTGAAGTAAACCACGTGTTTGTTTATTTTGAACATTCGAATTTACAAAAACCAAAAGATAACAAAAACCATGACACAGATACCACACACACACACACATACACACACACACACACACACACACACACTGCATCTCACATCACTTTATGTACAAAAGAGGAGGGGGAGGGTGGAGAGTGGGGGGGCACTAATTTCACTGTGTTGGATGACAGGACATGCTCATGGCCTCACCCAGCAGGGGTGTGGGGGGGGCAGGAAGAGGTCTGGGGATGGCAGGCGGCTGGGGTTAAAGGGGTAAGGAAAATCAGCCCATCTCTAGGAGGTGGCCCTTCCCCAGATTTGCTCAGGGTGAGGGTGCTAGGCTCCAGTTCTGGGGGAGGGGTGGCTGTGTCATCTGGGCCCCATCTGGGCCTCAACTTCCCTATCCATAAAGTGAGGGTTTTGGGTTTTGGCTTCCTCATCCTGCCTGAGTCTGGGGCCTCAGGTCATGCACAGCCTGGGGCGCGGGGGGCGTGTGGAGGGGGGATGGTCCCAGACATGGGGGAGGGCACCACACACCCTGTGGGTGGAGAATCTGGCAGAGAACAGCTGGGAGGTGCCTGTGGCAGGGGTGAGGGGCAGCAGCCCTTCCCCTGGCCTGCTAGGACGCCTGGGAAACTTCCACCTTCCTTTTCCTGCTTACCCACAAACTAGCTCGAGCCCAGTTTTGAGTCCCCTCTGAGAGCCTCACCAAAGGGCCCCTGACCTTGTGGCTCAGCTGGCTGCACCTGTGGCTCTTGTGCCATTCGCAGTGAGAGCAGGCGCCTCCATCCCTCCAGACCAAAGCACACTGGGAAGCAATGCAGCCCAACCCTGCTCTGTAGAGCTGGGCACTCTGCCCCTCCTGCTGGTGAGTGAACATGCACCTAACCTGCTTTGCACTGAAATCTGCCCCCCCCCACATCGCTGGCTGGCTGATGGACATCACTGGGCAGGTTGCTTTGCCTTGGAGCCCCAACTTCCTCTCCCCTGTATCACAGGGCCAAGAACAGTCCGAACTCAGGATTGCGTGAGAATGAGCCAGATGGTGCCTGCAGAGCACCCAACACAGAGGCAGTGAGGCCCGAAAGGGCTCTGACAAGCTGAGATCTGTCCACCTCAGTAGCTGGGGGCTGCTCCGGGGGCAGCCGGGCACCATCCCTGGCTCCCTTTCCCTGTGTTCTTGGTCATGCCCCAAAGCAGCCAAATCTATCAAAACTGGAGTCCAGCCAGGTGCCGGTGGCTCTCACCTGTGAACCCAACTACTACTCAGGAAACTGAGATTTGAGGATTGTGGTTCTAAACCAGTTCAGGCAGGAAAGTCTAAGAGACTCTTATCTCCAATTAATCAGCAAAAAGCTGGAAGCAGAACTCTGGCTCAAGTGGTAGAATGCCAGCCTTGAGCTAAAAAGCTAAGGGAAAGGGCTCAGGTCCTGAGTTCAGGCCCCAGCACTGGCACACACACACATAAACTAAAACTGGTGTCCAAATAGCAGATGCTCAGTACATGTTCACAGAACAATCAAAAGAGAAGAAGGGCTGGGGACCCTGGAGATATGGGGACAGAAGCCCTTCAAAGAAAGCCATACTCAGGCAGTATCTCTATTTGAGAGGCTCAGATGTCAGATCACCAAGATGAAGGCAAAAAGCACTTAGGGTAACATGTCTGGGTGCCCTTAGGTGACCTCCCTCCTCAGCCCCTAGCTTCCTCTGATGTCCGCAAAAACTGCCTCTTTCAAAACAATAGCAGGGACCTGATGAAGCTCAGGGTCCCCGATTCTGTCAGTTCCCGATTCTGTCACCCAGCAACAGTGTGTGTCATCATGAGGAGATGCTTGACCCAGCACTGGGCTGACGTGATTGGCTGTTACCAGGCAACCCGATCTCTCGTCAGGACGGGCTGAGCCGCATGGCCCTGTGTTCCAGGGGAGTTGGAGCTGAGGTGCTGAAAATGGAAACAGAGATCGGGTGGCCCGAGGCAGCAAGGCCTGGACACGCTCTTTGGCCTGAAGCCTGTAACTCCTGCGTCACGTCTCAGGCTGAGCAGCAGTGGGGAATGGACACAGGAACAGAAAGAAGCAGCAGTGCCCACTTGAGTCAGGCCTCCTGCCGCTGCTCAGTCGCCTGGCTGGAGAAGGACATCTGTGTCCTCATCCCTGTGTTCTGCCAGCGTTTCACAATGGCCTTGTGTGGTTTGGAAACCATCTTCATCTCTGGGAGAGGAAGGCTGGACTCAAAGGCCCATAAGGGCAGGCAGTAATAGTAGCAATAAGTATGGCATGGAGGAAAGGACGAAGGAGTCCAGCCCTGGGTTATAGTCCTGGCCTATCCTGCTGTGCTGTGTGATCATGAGCATGCTACTTGCCCTCTCTGAGTTTGTGCCTACTGTCACACTAGAGGGCCTATTTTCAGCTCTGACACTCTTCCTCTCCCTTGGGGGAGCATGGTAAGGACTGAGGAGAAGGGACCAGGAAGCCACCAACCCTTTGGACACTCTCTGATAGGCAAGGTGTCAGGTTGGAGGAAGCCACTGGGAACTCCATTGGTGAGTCTGGCCTGCCTTGAACCTTGCCCTTGCTCCTAATGACCCTTGACTGGGTCATCGTGCGGTTCTAGGCCCTGCCTCTGCTGAGTCCTTGTTCCTTAGGTGTCTCTGCTCTACCCCTCAGATGGCCAATTATCTTACATTCCACACAGATAGCTCTCAGGACCAACGCAATGTCACCAGGAGGGAAGCCAGGCCCAGAGAGGGAAAGCACATCCAGAAGTCCACACAGCAGGTGCCTGGCTCAGAACCTTGCTCACAGCCAGCCCTCTGTCGGTCCTCTCAGCTCCTCCCTCCCTCCCCAGGGCTGTGCAGAAGGGCTGGTGACACGGCTCTTCCAGCAGCCGGATCTTTTGAACCACGCAGTACCTGCTCCCAGCCCAGGCTGGAGTGGCCCAGGCCCCTCCCTGGGCAGAGGGGGAAGGACCACCATGCCACTGGACACCACAAGGGGAGGCTACAGCCCTTTGGCCTCTGAGGGTCTTGGTCCTAGAACCTCCAGGCTGATGTTATGGAAACGGGACGGGGTGGGGGGGAGGGGGCGCTGGCCCAAGCATGGAACAGACAATCAAACCATTGCACACCAAAAAACAAGGAAGGGAAGGAAGGGGGGGGCATCATCAGGACCATGATGCCCCAGACAGGAAGATGGAGGCTGACTGCCTAAGGCCCCACCATCTCCTTGTTCAGTTGCTGTGGGATCAGAGGGGAAGGTCCTGGGCTGGGGGGGGGGCCCGCGGGGCACTGTTGGGAGAGGGTCAGATGTGACTGTGGGACAGGGTACGGTGAGGGGCCCAGCAGAGCTGGTTCCCTCGGGTTCAACCTGCTGAGGTACGTATTCCCCATCCAGGCGGCTAAAGGGATGTCCAGGGAGGGGTGGTCAGGAGCGGGGAGGGAAGGGAGGCCGGCGCATGGACAGGCTGAGGGAGGAACGCCCCCTCAGGTTCCCGCAGTGGCAGGCGGGCGGGGCGGGGCCGGGCCGCGCCTCCTCATGCCTTGGCCCTCGCCTTGCACACGTTGAAGGGGGTTTTGGTGGCCCCACCGAAGGCCTCCACCAGCTTGTCCTCCCAGGGGAGGACGTTGCCCGGCAGCGGCCCAGTGCAGTTGGCGAGGCCTACGACCTGGGCGGGTGTCAGGGCGTGGTCCCACAGGTTAAACTGGGTAATGTCACCAACGAAGGCCTGGGTGGCATCAAACCGGCCCCCCAGGGTATCCTGGGCCGAGAGAGGAGAGACACTCGAGTGAGCAGTGGAACAGGGCAGCCAGCTCAGAGAAAGGCTCTTGTTCCTGCCACAACTGAGCTCCCAAAGTTCCCCTAACCTTCTAGTTTCCCCCAAGGTCTCCCCCCTGACTCCCACAAGGCTCCAGCTCCCCGAGGCTGGGCCCCAGGCAGATCTTTGTTTCACACACACACGCACACACATGCACGCACGCACACACACGCACGCACATACGCACACATGCATACACAATGCACACGCACGCACACATGCGCACACACACACACACACACACACACGCACACACACACACACACACACACCCCTCACCGGCTACTTTGCGGGGAGACAAAGCAGCCTGGTACTCTTCAGTTTCATGTCCCACTGCTCCCTGCCCAGCACCCCTCCTTGGTCCCTATGGTGAGCCTCCAGTCTGACCCATACCTGCTCCTGGCCTAGAATGAGGACCCCATGAGGCTTGATGGGGTGCCAGGCCGCCAGGTTCTCGCCAGAACCCCGCAGCTCTCCATCCTGGTACGCAGACCACAGGCCGTCCCTTGTGGTCCAGGAGATGCAGATGTGGTGCCAGTTGCTGTCCTTCAGGCTCAGGGGCAGCTGGGCCACCTGGACACAGACAAAGACAGACAGACAGACACACACACACACACAGACACACACAGACACACACACCGCCAGTCCCAGGTCAGAGATGGCTAGAGGCCCACAGGGGGGCAGAGGTGAGGATGCGGCCTGAGTCCGTCCTCCCAGGGCCTGACCCTCCCCTCCTCCAGTCTCCATTCCTGACCCCTCTCCTCTTCCCTCACAATGCGGCAGGTGGTTTCCCACAAGTCACCTGGAGCCATCCAGCCCTGGTTTGCGATTGTTTCTGGGCTTACAAGATCATGTAGGGGACGAGCAGTGTATCTCAGGCCTGAAGCCCCAGCTATGACAGAATGAGCCTGGGACTCAGCTAGGAGCTGGTGTCTGGCCTGGGTTTTACCACCAGCCTCCCCCTCCCCCATGCCCCTGTGTGACTTTGAGGTGCTGTTCTTCCCTCCCTGGGCCTCAGACAGACAAGGGAGGGTAGAGATGTGCAGTCACAGCCTCTTCCTCCACCCTAGGCAGACATGACTAATCAATCCTGAACCTCCACTGAGCTCCATAAGCCTCTGCTGTGCTCTGAGGGGAGCCTATGGGATGACAGGTCTTGCTGCCTGAATTGGATGCGCCTAGGGACTCCTCACCCTAAAGGTTCTTTGAGATTGTGATTTCCTGTAGCCCTCCCAGAGGTGGCTTGGTGCTAGGCACAGCTTGAGCCCAGGCTTGGGTCTAGAATGAGATGAGCCCGTGGGCCCCGGTGGTGCTGTCCGAGGTGCTGAACTCTCCCTTGGGAAGAGCGAGCCCTGCCCTCTGCAGGACAGGGATGGCGGCCAGAGGGAACTGGAGATCAGCTCCAGGTGAACTCCAGCTACCTGGGATGTCTTGGAGCTTGTGGGACCACATGGAAGTGCCCCCCAGACCCCTCTCTCCTCCTCTTCCTGAACATGAAGAACATGCCCTGTGTGGCTGGAGGATGTGTGACTTATGGGGTCCAAAGACAAACAGGTCCCAAAGCAATGTGGTGGACAGGGGGAGGAGAGTATGGGTGATCAGATGCCCCCTTCTCCTACCTCCCCACCCCGACAAGCATTCCCCCCCACCAGGTGTGAGCACATCCTTCAACACCCCCCAGCCAGCGGCGGGGGGGAAAGGTGGTTACCATTGGCCCAGCAGGCCCTCACCGCTTGGCCGACGAGGGGGCATGGCTTTCCCCTTCTAAGCCTCGCCTCTCCACATTTGCAAAGAGGACTTGGGAAGCTTGGGGTGGAGATGGGAGGTTAAGGGCATCTTAGCTACTGAGAACTTTCAGAGGTAGGGGCCAGTGCCATCCCTGCTTTACGGGATGAGGAAAATGAGGCACAAGGCGGGTAAGCAATGAGGTCCCACAGGGAGCATGGTGCACCAGCCAGAACTCACCTGGGGCAGGGGCGGGCAGCAGCAGAGGCTGGCTTCCCAAGTGGAAAGGGGTCAGCCAGGCCCGGAATCCCCTTCCCTCCTCCTGTGTTCAGGAGCGTGGGTGGGCCCTGGGAACAGACTCCCACCTGCCCGCAGCTGGGTCCCTGGGGAGTCCCTGGTCCCTGTCCCCTCCCCCTCCAGCAGCCTTTATGGGATGCATGCCCCCTTCAGCCAGTCCCGCACCTGACTCTGGATTCTCCTAACTTAGCCTGGCACATGGTAGTTTACTTTATGCATACTGACTGAGCTATGCAGCTGCCCCCTGCCCACCCCCGCTCACCTTGTCATTGATCAGCAGCTCCAAGGGCTCATGGCCAGCCTCCAGCAGGACGATCTCGTTAGCCTGTCCCGGCACGGAGTAGGAGAAGGGTGTGCCCTGGCCAGTGCCACCTGACCTCGATCGCAGCCACATGCACACGGTGAAGGCGTAGAGCTCGGGCAGCGCCTTGCGCACGCGCGCGTACATGTAGTTGTTGCGGATTGGGATGCTGACCTTGAAGGCGTCCGGGGGGCTGTAGGCCGAGGAGCCTGCAGATGGCACTCGGGGTCAGCAGACACTGGGATGAGGCCCACAGCTGTCGGCCATCTGGGGTGTGCTAGAGCCCTTCACCACCTCCCCTCTCTGCCTCTGTGCTGACGGGTGGTATGGGTGTGGCTAAAACCCAAGGGTTCTGTACCGGAGATGTCCTGAGTTCAAATCCTACCCCCCTGTGAGCTCCAGAAAGTTCAACATACTCACTGGGCCTCAGTGTCTTTAGTATAATGGGATGACATTTCCTCTTCCTCCCCTGGTTGTGTAAGGGTTGGTAGGGCAGCATATGCAATGAGCCAGAGCCCATTTTAGCTGTAACTGTGATTACTTAGAGGTCCCTGTTTGCATAACATGCATTCTGTAATGCATTGTGTGGTGAGTGCTTCTCCATACTATTATTAGTTCATTCCTCATAAAGGACCCTACCAGATAGTCTCTGTTACAATCCTTATGTTCCAGGTGAGGCTACCTTGGCCCAGGCCACACAGCAGAGGTGAGATTGCAGCAAAACATTCTTGAGACTCTATGATCTTTGGGAATCCATTCACCCCAGAATTTCTGGGGTTCTGTGTTGCAAGCAGCAGGTGACTTTCCATAGGAGGTAAACTGAGTCACTGCCTCCAATAGTCAGGAGGCCCTGCCATACACATCTTACCATCTGCCTGGGCCTCGGCCAAGGGCCAGGGCGGCCAGACTATGTCTGCTCTGTAGCCCCATTCACAGATGAAGAGGCTGGGCCCCAAAAAGGGAAATGACATGCACAGGCACCCAGTAACCACCAAAAAGGCAGAAGTGGAGCTGTATCTCCAGTAGGCAGCACTAGCCTTGAGCGAAAACGCTCAGGGGCAGCACCCAGGCCCTGAGTTCAAGGCCCAGGACCGGCCCCCACACACAAATTCCCCCAGCCAGTCAGCCTCATGCATTCCATAGCACCCTCCCACTGTCCTGCCCAGAGCCAGCCTCAATGGGAGACCCACCATGCTCCAGCTCGGCCACGCGGCCCTGCAGGACATCCAGCTCCTTCTCCACCTCCTGCCGCTGCTGCTGGCTGCCGTGACTGAGGGCCGCACGCTCCTTCTCTAGGGCCAGCACCTTGGCCAGCAGCTGGCCCTCAAGTTCGTCCATCTTGGAATTCAGGGCTGTGGGCATCACAGGGGCTGAGGCTGGTGCAGTGGACAGGTTCACTCGGGCTGGGAGCTCCTGCTGCTCCCAAGAGAGAAGGGACAAGTAAGGTCACGTGGAGACCATGGAGACCATGCTGAACCACTCCAGGTGAGTCCCTGTGCAAAGCAGGGATGGTGATGGAACGGCAGGCACCCGTGCAGCCACATAGAGTGAAGGAGCCAGGACAGCTGCTCCCTGCTGAGCCTTCCTCCAGGGAGGCCCACAGCCGCGGTGCTCATTAGAGCTCCATGGAGCCTTTACCTCCAGCGGTCCATGACCAGGCTGTCCCAGGGCAGGGAGGAGATGCGGGCTGGTAATGGACATCCTTGACAGCAGAGTCAGCTCTGTTTGCCGTCCAAACTTTCCTAAGCCCCAGTCTCGGCCCCAGGCCTGCCGGCATGCATGCGTGGCCACCAGGATGCATTGGTTGCCTGTAGTTGGCACTGCTGTCCCTGGCAGATCCAAGGGCCCCACGCCAGCGCTCCTGGAGCAGGCTCATGGCGTGGCCTTCCCCAGGCACCAAGTGGATGAGATCCTAGAGTCGAGCTCAGAACCCCACACCCAGCTTGGGAACCGCCCTGCTGTGTAGGAGGACACAGAGGCAAACCAGAAGCTGCCTCCTGCAGCTACTGCTGAGGAGGGGTGACCCAGGTGGCCCAGCCAGTCTCCTGCCCAGTCCAGGACAATGTGCTCAGAGACGCTACTTGTTCTGGCCTAAGATCTACATACATGACAAGCCAGGTGCCGGTGGCTCATGCCAATAATCCTAGCTACTCAGGAGGCTGAGATCTGAAGATCACATTTCAAAGCCAACCCAGGCATGAGACTCTTATCTCCAATCAGAAAACCGGAATGGCATTGTGGCTCAAGTGGTAGAGTATTCACCTTGACTTGAAGAGCTCAGGGACAGCGCCCAGGCCCAGAGTTCAAGCCCCATGACCGACCAAAAAAAAAAAAAATCCACATGATAGGAAAATCGGGGTCGGAGCCAGGGGCCTCACCTTCCCTCGCTTCTTCTGGGGTAGAAGGAGACTCAGCTGCAGGCCGAGTCCTGGAAGGGACAGGCTGTAGGGACTGCATCACGGAACATGGGCAGATGAATAATTCAATGACCTCCAAGGAACCGAGTTAGGCCTTGCTCCCTTCTGCAGTCCCTAGGGATGGGCCCAATGACTTTGCTCTACCCAGAGGTCAGCCAATGCTCCCGGTACCCTAGCTTAGGCCCTAGACACAAGCTCAGCAAAGCTTCCCGGTTTATTCACTGAACAAACATTCAGTGAGTATGGACCATGGGCAGCGAGCACCTTCAATGCGCTGTAAGCACTTATCATGGACAGTGAGCACCTACTATGTGAAATGAGAGCATACTATGTGCTCTATGCATTATCATGCACAGTGAGCATGTACCATGTTCAGAAAGCACCTACTATTTGCTATGAGCACTTCTCGTGTACAGTGAGCACCTATTATGTGAAATGAGCCTCCTACTATGTGCTGTAAGCACCTACTGTGTGCACCGAGCAGCTACAATGTGAAGGAGCACCTACTTTGTGCTGGGCCCCTATCATGTGCCAGGGCTGTGGCCAAGGTAAGTAAGGGGGTACAGAGGAGCCCGGCCCTCAAGCCTGGCCAGGATTGGTGTACAGAACATCTGGTCTGGCACCAGCGTTCATGCGCTCAGCCCTCTGCCCCAGTGCTCTCCTCCACTTGGTGGCAATAAACAGGACCGAGATTCAACCTTCTTGTCACAGCTGAGCAGTGGGCCGCTGGACACTGGGTCACTCGGGCTAGCCTGGGAGCCCCCCAAGACCACCTCAGTTTTCCCTGTTGTAAAACGGGACCCCAGGCCTCCCTCTGTGGGTCCCTAGGACAGATGGAAGGAAGGGGTGGGACTGACAGGTCCTCGGGGTCTGAGAGAGCGAGGCGGGGATGCGATGGCTCGGGCAGGACCCCGCCAGCCCTCAGGAGGTTACACAGAGCGGTGCTCACCAGGGGCGGGAAAGGGCTCCTCCTCCAGAACTCTGCCTCATCCCTCCAGCTCTGTGCCACGGTGACATGAGGGTCTCTCTCTCTCTCTCTCTCTGAATGGGACTTGGGGCCAGGCCCATCCTAGGAACATTCTACAAAGCTGATTTGCTCAAAGTAGACCTGCACCCCCCCACACTGCTGGGAAACTGAGGCAGCGTCCTTCTATACTGTGAGTGAGCCCGCGTGAGTGTGGGCTTCCTGCTGCCTTGGGGGGTGGGTAGGGGGGACACGAGCGTGAGGGCCGGGGGAGGCGCACAAGCTGTCCCTTTGTCCTAGCCGGAGTGGGGGTAGGGGCTCAGCCGCACCCCCAGCGTCTGAATCAGAACGCGACGCCCCCACCCGCTTCCCATCTGCTGCGGGCGCAGGCTGCGCCGCGTGGGCTCTAGGCCTGGTGCCAAGTAGGCCCCAGGGGGGAGAGTGGGGGTGACCGGCACCCCCCCACACTCAGCTCCTCATGGGGCAGGAAAGTGGGGACCACAACCCACACCTGCCCCCTGGGAGTCAGGAGCTCTGGGCCCAGAGCTCCAGGCCCGGCTCCGCTGCTGGGTCTCAAGCGGGGCTCCTCTGTACCCGTCACCAAGAAAGAATGCTACCAGCAGCTTTCTGGGTGCTTCCCTGAACTGGGGGGACACAGCATACACATCTCATCTGCACTCTACCCTCTGACCCCCACCGCACCCCAAAGCAAGAGGTCCACTTTACAGACCTGGAAGCTGCGGCTGAGGAGATGGGAGCCTGGCTGCCTGAAGCCCCACCCAGCCCCCTTTTTGTTGGTGGTGGTGGTGTTGGTCGTGGGGCTTGAACTCTGGGCCTGGGCGCTGTCCCTCAGCTCTTCAGCTCAAGGCGAGCACTCTACCTCTTGAACCATAGTGCCACTTCTGGTTTTCTGATGGTTTATTGGAGATTAGAGTAACATGGATTTTCCTGCCAGAGCTGGCTTTGAACTGTGATCCTCAGATCTCAGCCTCCTGAGTAGCTAGGAGACAGACGTGAGCCACCACCCAACCCTCTTGATTCTGCAACCTGTGCCCACTCCCTGTCCAGCACCAACAGTCTGGGGTTGGTGATCTGCCAGAGGGGGACAGGTGCCAAAGGCCACCTCTGCCTTGCAGGATGGTGACAGAGGTTCAGTGGCAGGGAAGATGGCGGCTGTTAGCTGTGATCCAGCAGGAGGGGCCGGCCAGGCGGGGTGACTGAGTCCTTGGTGAGGAGGGCAGAGGGGGAGGCTGGACTTTTCTAGGTCAGGCTCACCCCTTTCTGCTCAGCCTGGGGAACTGAAGAGGCTTTGGGACAGAAGAGGGGTCACAGCTTGGCCCTCCTCTTCCCTCCCAATTGTGCCCACATTCTGTGGTCCTGGGTGAGCCTCAGATCCCCTGGCTGGGTGACTACGTAGAAGGTTGCCATGCCTCAGTTTCCCCACTGGCACAAGCATCTTTTCATGGCTCCTGAAGGGGGCATGACTTCTGTGCCCCCTGGAGTGGCCTCCCTCTCCAGCGCAACCTTTTTTCCTGTTTCACTAATAGCAAGAAGCAGTAGCTATGGTTTAGATGATGCTCTCCCCCACACCCCGTCATGTGAGATTAGGGGTGTAGGGCAGAAGGGTGACCTCAGGAACAAGGCAAGTTCAGTCCCGCCTCCAAGTACTCAGCGTTGGGGGGCGGGGAGGCAGCCACTGCACTGTGAGGGGGGGCGGGGGCCGGAGGGCATGGAAGGCCTCTAGGGGGCCGTGTCACCCCATCCCCCTGTCCTTCCTCCCCAGCAGAGGACCCAGAGAGCTCTGACTCCACCATACCCAGCAGCAAGGAGGGCAACAGGGATGGAAGGCAGACTGGTTTCTGTCCTGGCCTCCAGGCCAATTTGGAGCTGAAATAAAAGACAAATGGACAAAGGAGGCTGAGAGGGGAGAAGGGCTCTTGCGGGGGGGGGGGTGCAAGGGGGTGCAAATCCTAGCCATCTGGAGGGGACTCCTTCACCCCAGGGCCTCTTGTCTCGCCTTCAAGTGCTCCAAGTTAAGCTGCAGCTCTGAGAAAGCTCCCGAGTTCCCCCTCCGATGTCGCTGTCCTCACACTTGCAGCCCTCACTAACATCCTCAACCAAAACTGGATGCCCGCTGGGTGCCAGCCTGTCATCCTAGCTACTCAGGAGGCTGAGATCTGAGGATCATGGTTCAAGGCCAGCCCAAGCAGGAAAGTCGGTGAGACTCTTATTTCCAATTAATCACTAGAAAATCAGAAGTGGCCCTGTGGCTCAAAGTGGTAGAGTGCTAACCTTGAGAGGAAAAGCTCAGGGACAGTACCTAGGCCAAGTTCAAGGCCCATGACCAACCGGAAACAAACAAACAAAAAACTAGACTCCTACCCTGGCCTGTTTCCTTCAGAAATCCTGAAGGAAGTCTTTGCTCAACCTCTGTCATGCTGTGTGGCTTTGGGCAAGAACCTCAGGCTCTCTGAACCTGTTTTCCCTGGAGCCAAATGAGGGCTTGGATGCTTCAATCCCTGCCCCTAGAGTGTCCCTGGAGATCATGTGCCCCAGGCTGTACTGGGGAGCGCCCATTCTCCCCTCAGCCAGGAGCCATGACCTTGCCCCACCTCCCATGGGCACAGACTTCACTATGGCCAGTATACATTTAAGGGAAGGCACTCGGTTGAAAACCACAGAGAGGCCACAACACCCACCAGGACAAAGAATGCTTTAAAGTGACCGGGAGTGAGCTGGCAAGGCTGGCACACAGGTGGGCGGGTAAATGCTTACAGCCACTTTGGGAAAGCGTGTAACAGTACCTACTGATGCTAAATATACGCCCTGCCTGCCACCCAGGCATCCCACTCCTGGGGACAGAGCCAGCAGAAATGAGGGCTGGCAGCCCCCAGCATATCATAGGATGTCACAGCAGTGTCATTTATAACATGAAAAAAGAGCTCTGAGCCAGAGCTGGTGGCTGCCACCTGTAATCCCAGCTACTCAGGAAGCTGAGATGTGAGAATCATGGTTTGAAGCCAGCCTGGAACAGA